GTACATCAAGTGCTAAATGTTCGCGTGTGACCTTTGACATCACGCGTGCAGAAATTCCTAATCGTCGAGCTGTCGATTAGGGGAACCCTTACATTTTTGTTCTGTATAGCTCCATGAGTGTTTTTTTCGGGGAATCCAGTATTTTTCTAGTAAGATTGGATATCTCTACTTTCCATATAAAAATTGCCATACTTTTATTGGAAATAACCACCCGATAAATACTTTTCTGGGAACCCATCTTTAATTCGCATTAAATTACCGTGGCTAATTTTATTCCATTTGTTTGTCTTTTCGAACTAGCAGACGACGCCATTTTATTTTAGAACGCACTTACGGTAGTCTTAAATAACCAGACCGACAAAACTTTGGTAACTTCTCTTGATTGCATACTGGATAATTTGGACATGTGGGACTATTTTCTCAGTTACCATTAGATCCTTCCTTGCGAGGCCGATTTTGACGATTATGCTGAGCGAGCCCACCTCTTTCTTCTTTTTTTTGGGGGGGGGGGAGTGGATGGCTGAATGGTTAGCGTGCGCGCGCTGTATCATAAAGTCTGTCATTGAGTCGACTGGCGTGGTTTCGAATCCCCGGTTGTACGTGACAAGGAGTAGGGTCGCCTGTCCAACCTCGTGGGTTTTCTCCGGGTCCTCCGGTTTCCTCCCACTGCTAAAGACCCCTATGCGAAAGCGAATTATTGAAATAAAATTAAACCATATGTTAGTCCCGAAATGACCTAGTTTGAGTCGAGTGGACGTTAAACCCCATTTCTCTCTCTCTCTCTCTTTCTTCTTTAAGTCACTCCCATTTTATTTGAAGGTCGAGTTTAGAAAGGACTATTTATTGTTAATGATAAAAGTGGTTTCCGTGGTCCCAGTGTGTGATCATCAATAGTTTGCCTACTAGATAAAAGATAATATTCATAATTTATATTAATTGAGAAAATTTATACAAAATATAAACATAAGAAACGGATGCGAGAAGATTCAAACTCTCAGTTTAACCCCAACTAAACATAATATCAAGGCCGTATATCGAACTGTCAATCAAATTGACTGACATGCGGCCTCGCTCAACAACGGTCTCGCTTAGTAGGCTCTTATCATAGCAACCGGCAGTGATTTACCTTGGATTTACCAGACAGTTTTTCTATATTCAACGCATTATACATGTCCGCCTGGAAAATCGCAAGCAAAACTGACTTTTGATCGCGTCGCGGAATAGACAAATTAATTAACTAAAGTTTAAGTCTGGAAAAACAAGACAAAATGTTGTTTTTTTTACAGGCGGTATTGTTTTCTCCAATTTACTGATTTATTAATTAAATTAGTCGTGATACTTTTATCCAGATGAAGTATTTTCATCCAAAATATAATGAATTGCACTTCACAAGTTTGAAAGCAATTTTTGGCTCATGAATAAAATAATTCTATCGCTTTTACCGCGATTTGAATCGCTTTTTGCAATGCGATACCGCTTAAATTGAACCCTGACTCAAAAAGTGTAAAAATATGGTATATCAAAGTTGTGGATACCGGTAAAAGCGATAAAATTGTTTTAGGTTCCATTCGATATTCGTGCTTATCGGATCGTAACTTGCTGAATTATGGCCCTTGATTGTACGAAAAATCATGTTTTTAGCTTGTGGTCCCTCTAGAGGTCGCAATTTTTATCTGATTTAAAAAAACTTATGTATTTATCACTGTACACCCTGATTACGGTTGAGTTTGAATTTCGTAAAAATTCGACCAAAACTGCCAGACAAAATGGCCGCTCCTCATACGCAAATAATGTAAATATATGGTATTCAAGGTTGTGGACCCTCTAGAGGCCACAATTTTTATCTGATTTTGATGAAACTTAAAATTTATGTTAACATCACAAAAATCTTGATTTCTTTCGTAACATAACTTCCTGGATTGTGGCCCCTGATTGTACGAAAAATCACGTTTTTAGCTTGTGGTCCCTCTAGAAGTCACAATTATTATCTGATTTGAAAAACCGGTCGAATATATCACTGATACACCATAATGTTGGTTCAGTTTGAATTTTGTGAAAATGTGGGCGTATAAAATTCACTTTTGTTTTTAGCTAGTTCTCTATCCATCTCTTGCAAAATGGGGGATCACGGTGGCTAAGTGGGTAGGGCGCTGGCTCGCTAGCCTGGAGGTCGGGTGTTCGATCCCTGCATTGGCCGAGAAAGTTCATCCCGATTTTCCGGCGTGGTTCTCCCTTGTCAGTGATGCAGGGCAGAGGGGCTGACAAGGACAGCTGTCTAGTCGTTCGGATGGGACGAAAAACCGAGGTCCCGTGTACTCATTGGCGTGCACGTAAAAGACCCCTTGACAGTTGGAATTCGATATAAGAGTAGGCCGTAGTGCCGCTGTCCGGGCAAAATTTCCCTCATAGTACACTGTCCGGAGCAAAACAGTAGGACGTTAAACTCCATTTCATTTCATTTCATTTCTTGCAAAATGTGGGCGTATCTTGCCTGGCAGCCGCTGGTTTAGCTCGTGGTCCCTCTAGAGGTCACAATTTTTATCCAATTTATAAACCGTTTGAAAATATATAACCATTACACCCAAAACTGTCGGATAAAATGGCCGCCCCTCGCATGCAAATATTGTAAAAAATTATATATCAAGATTGTGGACCCACTAGAGACAACAATTTTCATCCAATTTTGATGAAACTTGAAAGGTATGTTTATAACCCAAAGATCTTGGTTCCTTTCGATATTTGCACATATCGGACCATATCTTCCTGGATTATGGCATTTGATTGTACAAAAAATCACATTATTTTTTTAGCTTGTTCTCTGTCCATCTCTTGCAAAATGTGGGCGTATCTTGCATGGCAACCGCTTGTTATAAACCCACATTGTAATATTGTCATATATGGTGAGACGAAGAAGCCTACACCGTGTTGAAGGTCATGAGTTGAAGAAGCCTTTTGATTTGTATACGCCCACTTGGAAATGTGTTCGTATATTGCCGTCGCCCCCGTCTGTCCGTCCGTCTGTCCTTCGTCCACAATTTCTTGTGAACACTCTACAGACTATATTTATCATCTAATTGTTTTGACATTGATATGTGTTGTTTGCATTAGTGAGATGAAGAAGCCTATTTAATTTCAATAACTTCTGTTAATTTCTTCTGGAGTTATGTCCCTTGTTTCACTTTGTTGCACCTTGTGAACGCTCTAACGACAAAAGTTATCAACCGATCTGTATGAAATTTATATGCGTTATTTAAATTAGTAAAACAAAGAATCCTATTGAATTTCAGCAATTTCTGTTAATTACATCTAGAGTTATGGCCCTTGTTTCACTTTGTTGAATCTTGTGAACGCTCTAATGACAACAGTTAGCATCCGATCTGTTTGAAATTGATATGCATCATTTAAATTAGTAAAACGAAGAAGCCTATTGAATTTCAGCAATTTCCGTTAATTACACTTTGGTGTACCTTGTGAATGCTTTAACAACAAAAGTTATTATCCGATCTGTATGAAATTTATATGTATCGTTTAAATTAGTAAATTACTTCCAGAGTTACAGCCCTTATTATCTGATCTGTATGAAATTTATAGGTATCGTTTAAATCAGTAAAACGAACAAGCCTATTGAATTTCAGCAATTTCCGTTAATTACGCCGTGAGTTATGGCCCTTGTTTCAATTTGTTGTACCTTGTGAATGCTCTAACGACAAAAGTTATTATCCGATCTGTATGAAATTTATATGCATTATTTAAATTAGTAAAACACATAAGCCGATTGAATTTCAGCAATTTCCGTTAATTACATCTAGAGTTATGGCCCTTGTTTCACTTTGTTGAATCTTGTGAACGCTCTAATGACAACAGTTATCATCCGATCTGTTTGAATTGGTATGCATCATTTAAATTAGTGCAACGAAGATGCCTATTGAATTTCAGCAATTTCCGTTAATTACACGGTGAGTTATGGCCCTTGTCTCACTTTGGTGTACCTTGTGAATGCTTTAACAACAAAAGTTATTATCCGATCTGTATGAAATTTATAGGTATCGTTTAAATTAGTAAAACGAACAAGCCTATTGAGTTTCAGCAAATTTCCGTCAATTACATCTAGAGTTATGGCTCTTGTTTCACATTGTTGAATCTTGTGAACGCTTGAACGACAAAAGTTATCACCCAATCTGTATGACATTCATATGCATCATTTAAATTAGTGAAATGAAGAAGCCTATTAATTGTCAGCAATTTCTGTCAATTACTTGTAGAGTTATGGCCCTTGTTTTACTTTGTTGAACCTTGTGAACGCTCTAATGACAACAGTTAGCATCCGATCTGTTTGAAATTGATATGCATCATTTAAATTAGTAAAACAAAGAAGCCTGTCAAATTTCAACAATTTCTGTAGATTACTTCCAGAGTTATAGCCCTTGTTTTTAGTTTCTAGAACCTTGTGAACCCTCAAACGACGAAAGTTATAATGTCATCTGTATGAAATTGTCTATTAAATGCCCCCTAATTACCTACAAAAGAATAAATATCCGACAACTCTTGTCGACCGCTCAGACGATTTAGCTGCTGTGGGCGTATGTTTTGTAGCCTGGCAACCTATCTTTAATGGTTTCTGACAACGTGGAACAGCCAAATTCATGATATTAAATGTTTTGTATACTAAACGTTAGCATTCGACAGAAGTAGAAGCCATACAAATTCTAATAATTTTTGTTTATTATTTAATGGATTGTTACTCTTAATCAGATGTTAGTGTGTTGTAAATGTTTTTATTAACGACGAAAAAAACTATGCGACAACCCTTGATGACTGCCTGGACGGCTTAGCTGCTGTGGACATTTGATACTTTGCCTGACAACCTATCATTACCTACGAAACAATAAGTTTGTGACAACCCTTGCTGACTGCTCGGATGATATAGCTTCTGTTTGCGTACGTTAACTTGCTTGGCAAGCTATCTTTGATTTGACCAAACTCTATTCTTTTATTTTTAGGTCATATTAAAAGAATGTCATAGTGCATTACTTGTTACAGATGAAAACGTGAATGGACATTTAGTTGTATGTATTGTAGGTTTTTATCCGCCCACATTGAAATGTGGTCGTATATTGTCGTCGCCCCCCGGCCGTCCGGCGTCCACAAATGCTTGTGGATCCTTTAGAGGCTAAAGTTAATATCCGATTGACTTTAAATTTATATACAGTGTTTAAGGCCATGAGACGGAGAATCCTGAAATGTGGTCGTATATTGTCGTCGCCATCCGGCGTCCACAAATGCTTGTGGATCCTTTAGAGGCTAAAGTTAATATCCGATTGACTTTAAATTTATATACAGTGTTTAAGGTCATGAGACGAAGAAGCCTATTTAGTTTCATCGATTTTCGATAATTACTGCCAAAGTTATGGTCCTTGATCACTTCAAAAAATCTTGTGGACGCTCAAGAGACTAAAGTTAATATCCGATTGACTTTAAATTTATACACAGTGTTTAAGGCCATGAGACGAAGAAGCCTATTGATTTTCAGCAAATTACGATTATAACTGCCAGAGTTATGGCCCTTGATCACTTTGAAAAATCTTGTGGACACTCTTAGAGGCTGAAGTTAATATCCGATTGACTTTAAATTTATACACAGTGTTTAAGGTCAGTGATTTTCGATAATTACTGCCAGAGTTATGGCTCTTGATCACTTCAAAAAATCTTGTGAATGCTCTAGAGGCTAAAGTTAATATCCGATTGACTTTAAATTTATACAAAGTGTTTAAGATCATGAGATGAAGAATCCTAATGATTTTCAACCATTATGGCCCTTGATCACTTTGAAAAATCTTGTGACGCTCTAGAGCAGTGGTTCTCAACCTTTATTTGTCAACGGCACACCTTGGAACACATGAAAAAATAGCGGCACACCTGGATATATATATAGAAAAAATATTTTAATTATGCAAAATAAAAAGATGGTAAGTCAGACAGAATACAACCGTAGACAGAGACCAGTCATAGACACATAGAATGACTCAAACTAAGTAAAGAAAAACATAGCTATAAACTTATCAGTAGACATCAGTGAATACTCAATTAGGATCACATGGGTTTTTTTTTTCACATTTTCTTAGTGTGCCGTTCAAAATTTCGCAGCACACTGGTTGAGAACCACTGCTCCAGAGGCTAAAGTTATCATCCGATTGACTTCAGATTGATACACAGAAGAGTTTAAGATCTTGAGATGAACAAGTATATTGATTTTCAATGAATTTCTTTGACTTGAACAGCTTAATTTGATGTATGCCGCCTGTTCGCCACGTGGTTGTGATTGGCATTCAAAGTTCGATGTAATTAATGGTCAAGCAAGGCCATATATACATGTATATGATTAGAATTTTAAGATTTTTTACCGCCATGTACTCCAAAACATTATCGCCATTGCTAATTCTCTGGCCAGTACATTTTCATTTAATTCATCATCCAGTTTCTCCTCCAATGCCTTTCTAGGCATTAAACAACAGCAGGAGAAAAGGCGACTTAATTTCAAGTCCCGTAATGATGAATGCTATAATGATACTTTTTCCATTGCAGAACTTCGGGATTCGCTAAAGCGAGCTCGGGACACTGCAACTGGTCCAGATAAAATACATTACCAAATTCAAAAACATCTTTCTTTTTTCCACTCTCTTAATTTTACTGAATCTTTTTAACCGGATTCGGGTTGATGGGAAATTCCCCCCTTCATGGCATGAAGCCACAAGAATTCCCATCCCTAAACCCGGTAAAGATTATACGAATCCTACCAACTATCGTCCGATCGCTTTAACTAGCTGTATTTGCAAAACCATGGAGAGATCGATCAATCGAAGACTTGTTTGGTACCTTGAGTCCAACAACCTCATTTCAGACCTCCAATGTGGATTTCGGTCCCAAAGGAGCACTCTTGATCATCTTGTTCATTTTGAAACGTTCGTCAGGGACGCTTTCATCCAGAAGCAACATTTGATCTGGAGAAAGCATATGATACCACATGGAAACACGGTATCATGCGCGACCTCCATAACCTCGGCCTATGAGGTTGCTTATCTATCTTCATTAAAAATTTCCTGGAAGATAGGTCATTTAAGGTACGACTGGGATCAATATTCTCTGACCCTTTTCCTCAGGAAATGGGGGTTCCACTGGGAAGTATTTTATCTCCAACTCTTTTTGCGATAAAAATTAATGGTGGCACTTCCGGTTCGCTAGACAAACTTCATATTTTGTGTACGCTTCTGTAGTGTCTTAACTGGTACAGAAAAAAAAAAATCATGGCAATCTGAGCTATTTTTTGTCGATATTTTTGAAAAATTTGATCTCACATAAACAAATTTGTCGCATGAAAAACGTCAAAGTGGAAATTCAAAATTTTCAATTTTTCAAAGCACCCAAATTTGAAGATGGGCCAGGCTATCCAGAAATGTATTTACTAAGGAAATAGGAGACAAATTCTCCAAACCACAATCTATTGTGCTTATTTTCAAGGTGTTGTTTTAATGTAAATTTTTTTACTATTTTTTTACTATTTTTATACGCCCATATTTTCATGTGGACGTATATTGTCGTCGCCCCTGTCCGACCCCAATTTGTTTGTGGACAGTCTACAGGCCACAATTTTTATCCGATTTTGACGAAACTTGAAATATAGGTTTATCTCCCAATGATCTCGGTTCCTTTTGATATTGGCATGTATTGGACCATAACTTCATGAATATATCACCGTTACACTGTAATGTTGCTTGAGTTCGAATTTCGTGAAAATCAGACCAAAACTGTTGGCAAATAGAGTAAATATCTGGTATATCAAGGTTATGGACCCTCTAGAGGTCACAGTTTTGATCCAATTTTGATAAAACTTGAAATACATGCTTATAAGCCACAGATATTTGTGCATATGGGATTGTAACTTCCTGAATTATGGCTCTTGATTGTACAAACTTTAGAAGTCACAATTTTTATCTGATTTAAAAAAAACATGTGTCAATATATCACTGTTACACACTAAGATCTTGGTTCCTTTTGATAATCGCACATATCTGAACGTAACTTCCTGGATTATGGCCCCTGATTGTTAAAAAAATCGCATTTTTGGCTTGCAGATTCTGTAGAGGTCACAATTTTTTTTCCGATTTTAAAAAAACTTCCTGTATTATGGCCCTTGATTGTACAAACTTTAGAGGTCACAATTTTTATCCGATTTAAAAATAAACATGTGTCAATATATCACCGTTACACACTAAGATCTTGGTTCCTTTTGATAATCGCACATATCCGAACGTAACTTCCTGGATTATGGCCCCTGATTGTTCGAAAAACCGCATTTTTAGCTTGCAGATTCTCTAAAGGTCACAATTTTTTTCCGATTTTAAAAACCGTTTAAAGATATCACCATTCCACCATAATGAAGGTTGAATTCAAATTTCGGGAAAATTGAAATGAAAATGCCCAATAAAATGGCCGCTCTTTGTTCAGAAATTGTGTAAAAGTATGTAATATGAAGTTTATGGACCCTCTAGAGTGTAGCAATATAGTCGTGGCGACATTGTTTTTAAATTCATAGACAAAGAATAGAGAAATAAGATGACTTTATATTTATTTCATTAATTAATATATTTGGCAACTTTGGGTATAAATGACATATTGTTATATAAAAAAGAGTTATTTAGCCAAAACATGTGTCTATAAAATACCACAGAGAGCACATGTGCAAGGAAAAGTACTATTGTGTCATTGGGTTTAATTTAACCAATCATTTTGTTAATTACGCAAGTTCAGGGCCATGAACACGCTCTGTTATGCGTGATATACGTGAGTGCTATATAAGATATCTATTTGAAACTTTCAAGCAGACTTCCATTAGATTCCTGAGAGGTTCCATTTGAGTCCCTAGACAGAGAATGACTATAGTTAATATTGTAATATGTACTGTACATTGTACCATCTGTAAGCAGCTATATGATATATAAAATGTAAAAACGAACTGTTGCATTGTTATAACTGAGAAGTAAATACACAACGTGAAGCAGAAGTAAAGACAGCTAGAGACAAATTCTAGACGATCACAAGGCTACTAAGATATGTAGTAAGAAAAGATGCATGGGTCGTACGTAGGATGTGGCGACCGGAGTTGGTTCCCCCGCTCTCCACGTCTGACAGAAGGCCTATGGTGCTACAATAGGTCACAATTTTTATCCGATTTTGATGAAACTTAAAACATATCTTTATATCCCAAAGATCTCAGTCCCTTTTGATTTTCGTGCATTTCAGACCATAACCTTCAGGATTATTGCCCCCGATTGTACAAAAAATCATCTTTGTTTTTAGCTTATTCTCTATCCATCTCCTACAAAATGTGGGCGTATCCTGCCTGGCAGCCACTGGTTCATATTCAAGTCAAAATGGCATCTACCAGCTGACTGAAATCAAAATTTGGCTCTCTACATTTTATAGGCATTCCTTCAAGGATTCAGAAAATGTAATTCCTGTGTCTGCAAGTAAAATATCGTAAAATTGATGTTGACTTTTCACGTTTTAAGACGGTTGCACTTAAGGTTCAATAGACAAGCTTCATATTTTGTGTACGCATCAGTAGTATCTTAGCTAGTACAGAAAGAAAATTTCAAGGTAATCTGACCTCCTTTTTTTTGATTTTTTGGAAAAATTTGATCCTTAATTTATCCAAGGGGAGATATGTTAGGAAATTTCTAAAGGCATTGTTCATGTTGCATCAGTCAGATGTACTTACTTTCCAAATTTCAGAAAAATCGGGCTAATATTAAAGAAGTTGTCAGATTGGTCAATGGACAAAATCACAGCGACGAATTTTCGAAAATCGGAAATTGGAGTTGTTAATGAATTTTTTCAGGGCACTCAAAGAAGAGGGAGTTAGTAAAATAGGTCAAATAGTCACAAAGTTACAGATAAGTAGGTCAATTTTTTTTCGGCAGTAAAATTCAGTGATTTCGGTTTCGAAAAACGTTTGGAAAATACATTCATTCTAAATCCACCATCATTCTACAGGGGAGTAGGTCAAAGT